ACAATATATTTTGTAATAAACCTAAAAATTAATATTTGTTATAGATTTTAACATGTTTTGGTATTTCATGTAGGTACTAGGTAGTAGGTTAAATACCTTTAATTCACCATTTGTAATATAATAAAATTAATTGTACTTTTACATAATTGTTATGTCTTATGTGTATTATTTTTAATGAAATATTAGTAAAAAAAATGTTCTCAAGCACTTACACACCCATCTATAATATAATAATAAATTAAATGACAATAAATTGAGATAATTACCAGATGCGTTGAACTCCATGATGTGTCTTAAATTTATTTTCCGTTGAATGTATGAAATAAAATATATTATTAGTCTTATTAAAAGATGTGCACTTAAGAAAATAATTGAAAATTATTCAACTGACGTAGTTTAAGGTTTACATATTTTTACAGATAAGATAACACTATGATAGGTATATAGCTACCTAATTATCAATTCATAAACAACATTGTTCATATTAAGATATAAAAAAAATAGATATTAGATACCCAATTAAAAAATATATATTATCATTTACATGTATATAATTAAATAAAAACAGCATAATAAATAATTAACAGTTGTTTATACATTGTAACATTTTATTTTCTCCAATATTGAGCAAACTTATGCAACTGTTCAACAAGTACTGCCATCACAGCAGTAACAGAAACATCTAATAGATTTTGGAAATAATGAACAGCTTCTTCATCACCCAAATCTAGTCTGAATTTGTCTTGAACTTTATTAACAGTCTTATCAGGTTCTAGCGCAATATCTGGAACGCTGGCATCTACCATCAATGAGAAAAGATTTAGGATAAGATTAGCATGGCGCCTCAAGTGCAAAAATGCAGTATAACATAATTTTCTGAATTCATGATAATGTTCGCTGTTGACACCACCCATTGCTTCAACCATTTCTTTGCTTAATTTCATGGGCGGAGGCAATGGTTTAGGGTCTCTTCCCAATATGTATCCGAAATCTATGTGAAACAATTTACCCGTTGAAGTCAATAATAAATTATCAAAATGACGATCGCCAACTCCCAATAAATATGTTATAACACAGTATCCAGCACAACTTTTTATATAATTCTCCATGATATCAGAAGATATTCCAAAGGGTGCATTCTCATTTGGATGGGTCTTACGGAAATAATTTTGTATTGTACCTTCAGTAGCTAATATTTCAGCAACAGGTAGTGAATTTACAAACTGTACAAAACCATGTCGTGTGCTTGTTGCCAACACTCTATATGGAGTAAGTTTCAAATCTAAGTTTTCACTCCTTAAAAGTTTATCCATAAGCGTAATGATTTGTAATATGAGTTGATCTTGTCTCAAATCATCGCCGTGTTTAAAAATAGCTACATATTCTTTGTTATCTTGTACCATGAACGTTAGTCTGGAAGGCATTAGAGCAGACTTAAAGAGGACTGCTTTCTCAGGAACTATACCTGTAATATGAATACTGGGATCAAGTGGTAAATGTAGAGGTTCGAATGACATAAAACTAAATTTGGTATCTGTTTCACCTAATAAGGCTTGCAGTTTATCGATCTTCTTTTTACGGTTGCCACTTTCCCTGGCAACGGTTTTGATAATTCTAACTAAACGATCAATAAAATTTTGTTGACGTGTCAACATTCCATGTATTCGCTGACATTCTGCACTTCCATTATACAAAGTCATCAAAAATGTTTTCATAACACTTAAATACATGTTACGAACACGTATATCTTGTTTAATAGTAGAGTCTTGATCTTCACATTCAATCATCAAATACCAATAAAAATAGTTAGCCAAACTGAAGTTTTTACTTGCTCTATGTATCAAAAAACGCGCAAGGTCCATGTCTTCAGGCTTACACATTTCAAAATGATTAATTGTACAAGCGATATTACTGTCACTACTGTCTTTTAAACTTAATCCGGATACTGACTCTGTCAAACTGTCGGTTACAGGATATTTATCCTCCATTAACTTTAAGCTGTTGTTGATATGCTCAAAGTTTTCATACTTAAGAGCTTGAACCAACTGTAATAAGTACAAGAGTAAATCTTCATCAGTTGCTTGTTGTAATCGTTCTACAGCATATTTGCGTACTAATGAATGTTTGAATGCTGGACTTAATAAACGCAAAGAGTCATCTACATCCATTGGAGCCCATTGATACATCATATCTAATGCCTGCATAGCCTCTCCATGCAATTTCCAGTTAACACATTCTAGAAATTTTGTTAGAGCCTTTTTTTGATTACATAGGTAAAATCGGTACTTCCATATCAGATCTTGTTCTTCCGTAGTTAATATTTTCGTAGGGGGATATCCAACAATACTGTTTAGCATATCCCTTATTGTTGCAGTTGGTTTTGCATCCTTGTCGGATATACCACTTCTTAAACTTCTGGCAAGTTTATGATGTTTACTTTCTACTAAATTTTCTTGCATTACTTCAGCATCCGGTACAGTAACTATATCTGGGTTAACTCTAAATGGATATATTTCATCACCATCTTGCTCATAATGCACAACATTATACACAGTACCGTTTGATAAAATTTCTGGAAATTCTATCATTAAATAAGGATAATTGGAGGTCTTTTTTTCTTTTTCATTGATAAGTTCAATCTCTCTAAATGTTAATCTGTCCAACCAGTCAACTTCAGGTATATTGCCATTTCTGTGCTGTTTGGCCAATTTAGCTAGCGATTGCATGCGATTAGTGTCTGACAAACACTTGCCCGGTGTAGAAGATACATTACCATCAGCTTCTCTATCAGGCCATACTCTGAGATCAATCATACCTTGTCGAAAAACACCATGTTTGCCAAATAGTGATATGGATGTACCACCAACTGCCGTCATAGTAGTTGGTCCAGCACAGTCATACACTGTTAGAGTTAATAATGCATTCCTCGGCAAATCACTGAACTGAATTGGTAAAATAACCCATTCATTCCAGCTCCAACGGTTTGTAAAATGTTTGTAAGAGGTTGAAACTGGTAAGCTAAGTGGTTTACTGTCACTATATACTTGGCAGTATACTACCAGATCAGAAATAGGCTTTTGATATAAGCCGGAAAATTTTTTCATTGGATCACTAAGTATTTTTTCATAATCGATGTTGTGTTTGATGCCTTCAAGAGTTCCAATTTTTATCTGAACATTTGTCTCTAATGAACAACTGTACACATAGTTAAAAGTGCTATTCAGATTATTACTCATCTTCAATGTTCTGATATGCAATATGAAATACTCAAATGTTTAATAGTTTTAAACTAAGCAATCACTCACATTATTTTGAAATCCTATTGTTTTCATATAACAAATTTAAACACCCACACTGGTCACATTTTATTTAAAATTTAAAATTAACTTAATATTCGGCTTAAATATTCAAACATAACATTACATTTTACATTCACAATTCATACCAGAGTAATAAATTATTCATCCCTTTTCAATGGTACAATTTCTTAAGCTTACAAGTTACAATTTACTACTTAACACTTAATTTAAATATTTAATATTTTAATCATTGTAAAAATTTGCCAAGTTAAAAGATAAAACTGTTATCAGTTATCATCACAGATAATATATTTATATATTATATAAATCATAGACGTAATATAAATATATAATATGCACAGATATATAGAATAATTTATTTATTCTATATATCTGTGTAAATTTATAATATATATATATTTTTTTATATAAAACGTTTTACCAATTTACCATAATATATTAAAATATAATATACTATTCAACAATTTTATATTGTAAAAATAAAAATATATGCGATAAAATATTATAATATACTATATTTATTTGCCTTGAAGCATTTATTATTATTCTATTTTAAAATCAATGATAAAAACCTTAAAGTTTAGGTCTATGATTTCAAGTATGGACTTCAACATCTTGAGGTAATATTGTATACATTATAACCATACTACAATGAATAGTGAATATAAAATATTTAATATTCTAATATGGATCTATACCTACATGATGTCTTGTCTTGTATAATACTATTTATTATTTACCTACAACCTACACGGCTGCATCTAATCTATTTCTGTCTTTTGAAATATTTACGAAGTAATTAGTTGATCGTTGGGGATTGGTGATGATCACCGAATATAATCTGAAGCATGACGAAATAACGTTATTTCTATCATGATCTGAAGGTTATTGGATAATAACAAAATATCAAATACTAACATATTATTTATATATTCTAATTTCTAATACAAGAATACAAGTTATACAACCATTGATATTATGTGATGATGACTGATGAGTGATATATTTTGTCATGGATCTTTGATCACAATATCATATACGTATACACGGTCTTAGAAGAAGAGAAGTCAGAAGATCTTATAAGACCGTGTATGTATATTTATCTAATAGATACTAGACATGAATAGTTATATTCATAGACCCATGCATAGACCTATAAATTATAACTCTTTAGTATAAGGTCTATGATATTAACCATAATAAAAATTGACTATATAATAAGTATATAATAAAAGTAATTAAGTAATAACCATAGCTAAATTATTTAGCCATGGTAATAACTATTATAGCTATTGCCTATTAGCTATACTTGTACATATTATAAGCTATAACCGCGATTTAAGATATATCTGTTTTCTATGGCTAATGGCACGCAAGGTGAAACATTAATGAATGGCACGGACCTTAGTGGATCTTAGTCCGTGGCTAATGGCTATAACCACGAACTACTACATGTAGTAGTTCGTGGTTCGTGGCTATAACTTTACTTGTCACAGATATATAGAATAATTTATTCTATATATCTGTGTAACTTGTTCAAATCGTGATGATAGGTGATAGAAATGTGATAGTGTTATCTCATTGTTACCACTTTTGAGATTAAAATGTAGAAAAGCAACCATTTAACCATGATTGACCACACAATAATTGATATCATGCTTTTGAGTTTTGACATCGTATTATTATCATTTTTTTATTTTTTTTTACAAGTCCTGACATATTACAATCTTTGTTACGCTCGTCTGTAAATATTACTTTGATATTTTATTTTTTTGCTGGGCCTCTTACTTAAACGCAAATTGTGCATTGGAAAATTGCTATAGCAATCATGAGCTATTCACCATCAACACAGCCCAACGTTACCAAGCCAGATTGGCTGAGTCGAATCGAAAATATGAAAGTCAACCGTAAAGACATGAACAAACTTATAATGAACTATCTAGTGTCCGGTATGTATGAACAATACTGTTTGTCTACTTGAACATCTTAACAATATGGGTAAATTGTATTAAATATTGTAGAAGGATTTAAAGAAGCAGCCGAAAAATTTGAACAAGAAGCTGGTATCAGTTCTCCCCTCAAATTAAATACGCTGGGAAATCGTATTAAAGTGATCGAGTCTGTACAGTCAGGAAAAATGCAAGAAGCTATTACACTTATCAATCAATTATACCCAGGTCTACTAGATGATGATCGTGATTTATACTTTCATTTACAGGTTCATTTTGTTTTTATATCTTGTTCAAATATCTATCATAGGATTTTAATTCATCCAGATTGGGAATATATTTTTAATGAATAATGATTTGCATCCTGTCTTATCAGAATTATGGGTACCAGTTTATCATTAGTTTTGAACGGTCGAGCACAGCAATGACCTATTTTCTATTTAGTTTTAATAGAATTACTTATTAAAAAAAAAAAACTGATCAATATTTTTTGTGTCTCAAAATACTTAATAGTTTGTAGAAAAATTAAACTATTTCTTAAAAGTTAATGAAATACATTAATTGATTTGGTCCTAAAATAATTCATATTGCAATGTTATTAATGAGGAATTTCACATTTTAAGAAAAAGAACTGCAATTAGCATTGTAACTGCCATAGTCAATATGTATAACTACAATTTATTCTAGATGTCTTTTGAAATTTAACTATGACAATTGGAAGAAAGATCTAAAATGTTAATTGATTATTTAAATTTGCTTTAAGAAGGGTTGATAATTTGTTATAGAGAGTATACTTTAATAGAATCTTTCGTATGTTTGGTATGCAAATGCCATGGGTATACACTATACGTTTTTGACTTTTGGATCAACCTTCATACAAATTGCAATTTTAATACATGGCTACATCTTAAATAATAAGTTCTCAAAATACTGAAGATTTTGTTAGTTTTATAGATGGTACCTATGTCGTACCTAAAATCATTACTAATTAATGAATTTATAATTTTGTTTAGCCAAGCTTAAAGTATCCCTGGAAGTAAATATATTTAAGAGCACAGATAATGGAGGATGTCTCGATTGGTTATTTTGAATTTACTATTATGTATTTACAATTACATAATATTCATATTATATATTATTGTATAATTAATATGCTTATAATATAAATATTATTTATTTTTAAAGCAACTGCATCTAATTGAACTTATCAAAGAAGGCAACATAGAAGAAGCTCTTGTATTTGCCCAAGCTAAACTATCAGAAGTAGGAGAAGGAAATCCTACTATACTCACAGAACTAGAAAGAACACTTGCATTATTAGCATTCGAAGAACCTCAAAAGAGCCCATTTGCGGACCTTCTTCAGACTACACATAGACAAAAAGTAAAATATTAAGTTATTAAATTATATATTTAATTTAATACCCTTTTATTGTATTTTACAGGTATCTAGCGAACTGAATGCAGCAATTTTGAGATTTCACAACCAACCAACAATTACACCCAAGCTTTATAACCTTATGAAGCTAATAATGTGGGCCCAAGATGAGTTGGATAGAAAAAAAGTTAAATTCCCCCACATGACCGATTTTGGTTCAGCTACATTGGAACCTCCTAAATGACGCACAGTTAACGAGTACGACGACGTGTGTTGTGACTCTTTTTGGCTGTTTGAACATAAGGATTAAATTTTGAATATTGTTTTTTTAATATTAATTATTCGTAAATACTTTCCTAATAATATTATATACATCTATAGGCATGAAGCATTATTATAAAAAAAAATTAAGAAAATCTATACATTTCAATTTATTTATTGGATTTTGTTAGGTTACAAAGTTTTTAAATGTATTTATTAAGTAAGTTATTAGAATACTCAAGTTTTTCCAATATTATTTGTAAATCATGTGACATTTTACCAAAAAATATATTGTATAGTTTCATTCATTAGTATTTAATGTGTTCTATAATCCAAAATTTACATACAATCTATATAATTGGTAGTGACAGTGACTTCAAACAATTTTAAGAGTGTAATGATTGCATACTGAAGTAGATAATATAGAATGGGTAATTACTCAGTCTCAATTAAAGTTTAAGCTTTAAAATGTATCTGTAAAGATAAATATAGTTGTAAATACATTCATTGAAGATCTGATCCTTCCTTATTCATAGTGAATATTACCTCTTCTGTCTTCATGTGAGTGATCAATCAATGTTATTTCTCTTTTATAAAAACTTTTGTTATTATTTTTTGAATAAACCTTAACTATTTCACTCGCATTATTATTTTTTAAATATTATCTAAAAACTAATTTATCTATACATAAGAGTATAAACAAATATGACTGCATTTTTTTTAATTAATTAATTTTTTTTAAAACATACTTATGGTTATTTGATTCAGTATTAGAAATGTTCTTAGATGGCATGTAGTATAACTTTTTTTATTTTTATACTAAAAAGAAAAATTTTAAAAAAGCGGGTAAGTGGATGTCGCTCTGCTGTACCTACATTAGTTGTCTAGAAGGTTTCTGTAATCGCTATAATGAATGGTATTAAATTTGAATTTAATGATATCATATAATTATACGAAAAACGTTTCTGAGCGGAGATATTATGTCAGTCTCGGATATTTTATATTGTTATTACTTATTATTAATATGGTAGCCGTTTAGTTGAATAGTTAATAGAATTCTTAAATAATCAGTTGTGCTGGAAAAATATAAAAAAAAATAATGTAAAATTGGGCCGTTTTGGAACCAAATTACAACAAAATAATGAACGTTATTCTTTGTGTTAATATACAATTTTGTCCAAATTTGAACTGAATTGAAAAAAAAATCGTACCCATGTAATTTAATATTTTTCAACTGATATTGTGATAGTAAACTAGGTGTCTTGTACTACATTTTAAAGTTTTTTGACCCAACAAATAAAATTTTATTGACATTTATAAAAAAATTGAAAATGTCCATAAACAACTCAAAACGAGTCAAAATATTTTGGAAATTTTTCAAGTATATGAATTGATAAAATAAACATAGTGGAAATTGAAATTGTCTTCAGTTATTTGTTTTTGAATTACAATAAAATAAGAAAATCACTGCAAGAGAAATTGAGTGGAAAAAATAAAAATTCATCTAATGTTGTATACATTTCAACTTCAAACGCTCATAAAAATTTAATTTGACTTTCCGGTTGACATTTTTTTTTTGATAAAGGTTCCCAAGCTTACAAGGAATCTTTAACTAATTTTTTAAATCTTATATATAAAAACGAAATTTTTTTGAATTTTCAAGTTAGTATAATTTGCTAATTTTCGTGATTCTTACAAATGTTGTCAAAATTCTAAGTTTAAACCGCTCATAAAAAATTATTGTTGATTTACGCTACACTTTTTTTTTTAATTTGAACTAAATACAACAACTTACGAGGTACCTAAGTACCTTGTATTGCATATATTTACAAGTTTTTGTGAAAAATATTTGATCGACATTAGTTTTAGAAAAAACAAATAATAACCGAAAATGTCATATGCCTATAAGTAGTTCAACACCTAACCACAAAATATTTTGAAAATTGTATGGTGCATAGAAAATGCTAACAAGAAAATTCACTGAAAATTGCATGCATCTTCTGTCATTTTTTTTAGAGTTACACTAAAAATAAAAATCGATTTTTTCGAAAACTGGTTTCCGTAAAAATTCCAGTTTTCCCTTTATTTTTTTGTTTGTTTTTCCTGTTGCTTTTGAAAACTATTGGAAATTTTAAATTTTAACCTCCTGAATGCAACAATAAGATTTACTTTCCTACCAGAAAAGTTGCTGTTGAAGGAAATCGAAGCACTTTTACTGAAAGAACCCGTGATGACAGACACAAAAAAAATAAATAAATAAATAAAATAGGAACACACATCATTGTAAAATCAATACATTCATTGCTCCGGTTAGAATCCAAACGCCAATTTGTAAATCTGGTTTTTAGAAATTTTTTGATTGTAAAAACATTTAATTAAGTCATAGTTTCTATACGATTTTTCAAATTGTCTAAATTTTTGTAATAAGATTTGAAAAGTTATAACTTTTTGAAAAAATATTTATATTTATTACCATAGAACAGCGGTTCCCAACCTTTTTAGCTGTGTGGACCACCAATTTTGTAAACAAATCTTTGAGGCCCACAAACAGTTCACCTATAAACGAATGCATAAATATATATATATAATATATATGTATATACAAACGTCAGTTGTGAGAACTAAAAAGAATTAAAAAATCAATTGTTTATCATGAAAAACACAATTTAACAGTTTAATGTGATTTTTGACATTACTTGTCCTTCATGAGAGAGTCAATATCGGGATGAAAATTGAATGATTTTACAATTAAATCACTTTCAACATTCAGTTGATTCCTGTATTTAGCGTTAATTAATAATTTGACACCAATTTGACACTTCAGAGTGTAGATAATATTGATAAATATTATTATAATCAGAAATATTATTAGGTATACACTAAAAATATGTAATAATATTATTTAAAATATATATATAATATTAAATATTATATATTTATATGGTTCACGGTCCAGTACCAAGCTGCTCGAGGCCCACAAGTGGGCCGCGGCCTATGGGTTGGGAACCGCTGTCATAGAACACTAGTGTTCTATGTTATTACTTATACTTAGTCAGAAATTCTAGTAAAATATTTTTTTTAAAGTTTGTACTATTTAAATTTTAAATGTTTTTTGCGATTATGTTAACATTATTTAACAGCAACAAAGAGATTTCAAAAAGTTTTAAAAATAAACTAAGTACATGACTTAAACTAATGTTTTTAAAACCCAAATTTACAAATTGGCTATTAACACTACTTTTTTAATTATAGTTATTTTATTGTATCAATGACAATGATCAATCGGTATTAAAATATACATTATAAATTATAATAATACATATATTATACATTATTATTTTAGAATGTTATTCGAGCAATGGAATTAAATAATGAACATTTTCAATAAATTGTTTGGTAATACATTGGTGGACAATGCAGTCGGAATATCAGACACAAATACTGTTAAGTGAATTACCAGAAATGCGAAATCGGACAATGGCTCATGCCCCTTTGTCCCAGACCAACATAACGAAGTTACCACAAAACATAAATGCTTTTAATAAATCCATTATGTCCTACAAGTGGCCATAGCCCAACTGAAAATCAAACACAATCATATAGTATATAATATTTATTATTTAGGTACTACGTAACTATTCAATTGTAACAAACTCAACACGACAACACCTAGTGCTGGCCTATACCTATTACCTAATCTGCAACTTTTCCACCTACAAAATTATTCAGTTATAATAATAATACAAACCTAAATAATGATGATTATGAGTATGAGAACAAAGTCTATAATAATATTAAGCATAATATAGTCCACTTGGCGATGTATACTATACCAGACTACGCAGACAAACCATTCGTATTTATAATCCATAATGAAAAGGGGAGTTATAGTATATAGTTCAATGCATATACACAGTATTACAGTGTACATGCATTGAACTATATAATATACAGACAGAATCTAAACATATTATCATTTTGAAAGATGAAACTTGAGTAAATAAATATTTGTTTTGTTTTTTGTATAATTTTTTTAATATTTTTAAGCGAATATGTATGGGGGTGTGGATGTAGCGACCTCCCTCGGGGTTACTTTTCATGGGCATGGCCGGTTTCCGCCAAAAGTGTACCTTTCCCACATTATACAAAAAACAAAACAAATATTTACTTACTCAAGTTTCATCTTTCACAATGATAATATGTGTAGATTCTGTCTGTATATTATATAGTTCAATGCATATATCCTGTAATACTATGTATAATAAAATAATAGTACTAATATATACCGAAATAAAACGTTTCCTTAAAATTAAAAAAAATACTGGCATACAGCAGCTAATGATATTCACCATAATTATCGTAAGAAATATACAATAATTATAAACTTTAAATAAAAATTAAATAACTACATTTTTTCCCAAAAATAATTAGGATTACTGTTGAATTTTATAAGATTTATTTCCTTGTTGTGCTTATGCCGATACGTGCCCTACACAACATTGAATATTCTCAAATACCTGCTATTATGATACCTACGGCTTGGGCAGTCGATAATCGTTTAGAGGTGTGCTCAGGGCTGGGATGAGGAAGTCATATCCCCCTTTGGCTAATTTGTTTCATATAAAATATATTTTAAAGCAATGAAAATATATAGTAAAAATATTTACCGCTACCTACTTATATAAAGTGGTCTGAGAACAGTAAAATATTATAAATATCATTAGGTATATCCCCATCCCTCTTCAGAAAAGCCATTCACTCCACCAATATCGTTTAAGTATTCGGTTTTTCTAACTGTTAAGTTGGTTAGTGAATAGTGAATACTGAATATCTATTTAATCGATTATCTTAGTTGTAATGTTAAGTATTCTAACTTGTACACGATTGTACATTTGTACCTACCAATATGCTAATATTGTTGATAAGTAGAACTCTAGTTTCAAAGGTTCTCTTGAGACGATTTAAAAAGTATTCCCAGAATTTCAAGATGATGAATTTAGTAGTAGGGACGTGCTTTGAACTTTAGCATTTTTGGTGCAATCGATACAGCTTTTTATTGGAGTGCAATAGAAATCCCCAAGTTATGAAAGGTTCGCACCCTGTGTATTTAAATAACTAAGATCAATATAATAAAATTAATAAAACTTAACTTAATTCATTAAAACAATATTCTATGTATATGTTAATATCTAATTTCTAAGATTTAGATTATCTTATTTGAGTTATTCTAATGAAGACTCATATAATGGTACGTATTGGGAAGAATAGTTTAAAGTTAAACGGTCACTTAACTTCCTATATATTATTTTTCTAATTTCTAATTTCAGTCTTAGAAGAACAGAATTTAGATATTTGGTAGAAGAAATAGAAGATCCGTGACAATGTAATATGCTTATTACTCAATACTCATGAATACTTATGGTAGGTATTTTGTCATGAGAAGACGAAGACCGTATTGTCGACTGTCGGACTATCAGACTCGTGATAGAAATAAATAAATATTTATTTTTCTCATGGTCGGACTGTCGTTAGTCCGTGGTCTGTGATTCACTTCCACGCCATAGGCATTGAAAAAATATATATTTCAGTCCTCTACACAGACTACAGAGTCACAGGCTGTCTGAGATAAATAATTATTAATTAAATACAAAAAATATATTTATATATAGATAGACATTAAGAATTCTTCTATTATCTATGGTTAAACAAAATTATTATTGAACCATTAACCAATAACCATACACCGGTTATTGTGCACATGAACACAGAACAATACACCTTGGTTTTATAAATATTACATTTATCCACCGTCCAATGATAAAGTTGTGAGTCGCTACTCGTTGATAACAATGTTTGGATTTGGAAGTTGGAACACGAAGCGTCGAAGCACCAAATACCAATTCTAAGTATAGTCGTATAGACAATGGTATAACTTTTCGATTTTTAAATTTGAATACTGGTGAACTGGTTACACTTTAAGTATATAATTAATACTTGAAATCTTCATTTGAAGAATACTTATTTTTATTTTGTTTGTACACAATTGTATTCATATGTGTCTCTGAAACTGATTGGTATTGAACCATGTCAAAACGACTATCTACTGAAATCGAGATTTCCGCCAAAGGTATATTTTTCTGAATAAAACTCCACTACACAAATTACAAATTTATTTGTTTTTTCATAGACGTGGTTGACAAAGATAAACAACAACCAGACAAGAAACAAAAATTATCATTTGGAATGATGAAAAAGACTCTTCCAGCAAAAACTGGTATTAAGATAACTCTTAACAGCCCTGCCACTGTAAGTATATTTACAAATGTGAAACATTATTTTATTAAATAAGCAAATGTTCAAAATCTTAAAATTTTTTATTTCAATACCTATGTTTTGATAATAAAATGATATTTACTTGTAGAAAGAACCACCTATTCTACCAAAACCAGCATCAAAGTCTGTTGCTGCAGTTTTTGGTGATGTCAGTGATGACGAACCTGAAGAGATGCCGAAAGAAGCTAGAATGCGTATGAGAAATATTGGTAGGGATACTCCGACATCAGCCGGACCCAATTCATTTGGCAAGACTAAGCATGGTTTCTGTAATACTGGTAAACTTATGGAGAAGACACTTAAGGAGGCTACAAACGCACTAATTGATGACAAAAAATAGTAGTTATTTTTTTCACAATTATTGTGAATATTGTATTTACATTTTTTGCACAGAATTAGTTTTAAATATTAATTAAGATAACCATGACTGTGTATTTATAAAGAATTATTGAAAGGATATTTAACCTTTAGTCCAATCAATTGACCTTTTTTTTATTTATGTTACTGTAAAGTGTATAAAATATACAAGCAATACATATTATAACATCATATTATTTTATAAGTATTTAAATAACATTCATACTGTATTCACAAAGTAAAAATATCCATTCTAGTTATGTGAAAAGATTTCTCTCTGAATAATAATATAATATAATGTGTTTTTCTATCAAATCGATTTTACTCAATTAAACATTTAAAACTAATGGAAAATATTGAAATACCTGGGTACCTACTAAATTGCCGCGAAGTACAAATTCATCCTTCAAACAACTATAAGGTATATTAAATTGATACCCAGTATCCTTAAGTAAATTTGTTTTTTAGAAAATGTTAAGTAGTCAATAATATATAATAATAATAAACATTAAGCACTAATTTTTATACTAATTAAGTCAGTTGATTGATATAATAATTCTCTAAGAAATATGAATCCGTGTTTGAAATCTGGCTTGTAAAAATAATCTGACCATCCAAATTGTATTGCATGAGCTTTTCTTCATTCATTGAAATAATGTAAAACGGTCAGTGTTTGGCAAGTTCCTTATAAAAAGGATTTTCCTAGGAATCTGTTAATTTTAGAACTTGTTCCTTCCAAACACTGAAAATTATGAACATCAAAACAAATGTCCAGCTTTTATTATCCTTATAATCTTAAGTTTATATACTTAACTTATATCTAAGATAATGTATAAAGGCTTTTCTGATAAATTCAAAATGTTAGATAGTTGTTATAAATCTTTATTGAAATTAAAATAGGTATATAGGAGTCAAGAAGTATTAAACTATCAACTATCTCAATATTAAATTTTTGGGAAATATTGAAAAAAAAAATAGCTGAAGATAGATCAATAGCATATAACATAAATTGACTAATATTTTCTATTTTAATAAGCAAGTATAATTTTTAGAAGATATTAATCTTTTATTAAAAAAAAACAATTTTGGTTTTGAGATAAAAGTACTATAGGAGCTTTCTATCAGAAAACTTAGTTTATCTAAAAAAAAAACTCGAAAATGGAGATAAACTAGAAAGTATTTGCTGAATTTTTAGATCTAGCTAGTTTTAAATTGTTGATCACTAGGATCTTATTAAAACAATGTCGAAGTATGTTATATTTAATAAAAACTAATTGATTTAGAAAAAGACAAATCTACACTGTAAATGGGGCATTCAGTAATGATTAAATAATAAGGCATGGGGATAGGTGTTCTAAATCTAGATGGTCTTGTTTTGCTCATTTTGTATAATACAAATTAAATATGCAATTGGAATTTCAAGTTTAGTAGAATTAATATTTAATAGTTACATATGCATTTAAATATAGAACATCGAATCATCTCCAGTGATACATAGACAATTGTACAAACACTTCCATACTAAACCAGCATTTAGGAATAAATGTAATATCTAGAGAGCTTTAATAAGGTTTTAGAAATTATTAAGGCTCTCTAGTAATACCTATCGTTAACTTCACACGAGGAAACAACATCAAAAACCAAGCTGCCAGACTAGAAATCGTATCAGAGAATATCCATGTTTGACTGTTTCAGTATTTATAAAACGGTTTTTAATGATTTTTAAATTAGAAAAGTACCTAATACATCAATCAATACAATTGTAATTCACTTTTGTAGCAATGTAAATTAAAGTTAAGATAGTAAAAAATAGTGAGATTAATAACTAGTCCATAAGAGTGAAGATGCCAAGTATTGTGTCTCATTATCGATTACCATTTACATTGGAATATACAAATTGATTGTTAGGTAATGGATCCTCAAGACTTTGTTTCTAAATTTAATATTACCAAATTACAGTATCTGCGCTAGACGAGTTGGTCTTCAAGTATGTTTCAGTCAAGCGTCAAGCATTAAACCAGATGCTTGACAAGAAACGAATTGTAACACTAGAGTGATATTAATAAATTAATTTAAAAAATATATTTTTATACAAAGTATGAAAACAAATACACAATGCTATATAAAATATTCATTTTGTGTATGCATATTTAATTGTTAATTAATTTACCCTAACACAAGCTAGGCTTAAACGCTTTAATACGAATTAAGTCAATCAATTAATTAATTTATATATTATGTTATTCATTTAATCTAATAAAATAAAATTGTGGATTTCAAATGTATTGAGTGCTATGATATTTTTATCGTTTATAATACATTACCGAACGTATCAAATAATAATTAAAATTGGTATCAGTTAATCCAATAGTAATTACATAAATATTATAAGCAAAAGTAGATAATGCACTGTATTAATTAGCTTTAATGTTTTTATAGTCGTTGTATTAATTTAATACATTTTTTTACCATAACCTTTGAATTTAAATGTATTACAAAAACAATACTATTGGATCATTCATACATATGCTTAACTAATGCACAGAAGAAGCCGCTTAGCTTATTATGAACACTTTTGGACCAATGCGAAATGTGTTAAAATTAACCGATTGGTTACCATGGACTTAAGGCCACCTTCTCGTCCCTAAACATTATGCTTAACTAATGCACAGAAGAAGCAGCTTAGCTTATTATGAACACTTTTGGACCAATGCGAAAGTACAATTCATACACGGATCCACGGATAAGCAAAAATCACGGTGTTTTCATCCAGTTAGTGAATTGCCTAACCGACAATTTAATTTATTAAATCATATAAGTACACATTTAGAAAATAATCTTTTACAGATTTTTGTATGTAATACAGTACCATCAGAAAGTACAACCTAATGTTAATAATTTGATTAATATACTCAAATATACGTTAAAAAATCAATAACAAAGATTTTTTAAATATAACCAGCTTGTGATATGAAATATGTATTATACACATCGATCAAACTGTTCTATGACCTATTTAGACAAATATGAAAAAGCTAAAAGATCTCAACCATACAACTCAAATTAAAATTATAAAAACAAAAGCCTACAAGATGGCTAATATGTGCCTTTGGTAAATTGTCAATTACAGAAATAAATTTTAATGGGCAATAATGAAGTTTTATAGATATAAAACAAATGAAATCGCCAGTCAAATGATAACATCTAAAAGAGTCAAAATATTTGTGGTACCTACTGTATATTGTATAACCATTTATTACTAACTACTTGAATGGAAGGTTAGGTTGATATAAATACAATATTTTATTTTTGTCAGAATCAAAATGTATTTTTATATCTTAAATGAAGGTATAATATAATTTTGCATCCCCAAAATGTGATGGGAATTACGTTTTCCTTTGGGGTTGTCCTCCTTGGCGATTATTATCCTGAAACACAAACCATAAACTATAAGTGCCTGATAAACATAAATACAATATAGCAAAGAAAGTTTTCATGAATAATAATAGAACACTTTTGAATTGTTTAAAAAGTTTTAACAAATGTTTTATACATCAAAATATAAAAGAGGCTATTAAGTATTAACTCATTTGCTGCGGCTCAATATTGTATACACATACGACATAGCACCCCGCTGGTGGTCAAATTTAAGTTTTTTTTAAGACACATATTAGAGTTATTAGCGTCACTGAATAGATTTTTAGTCAGATATTGTTTGACGTCATACAAATATATAAATAATAATAATTATCATTTAAATATGTTAATACAATATTAGTAATAAAACACTTGTGGAAAAAACGTATGTACAAATTTACTAATATAAAATATGAGAAATGAATTACACATAGTTATCTATACTGAACAAAACAAAGATTACAATACAATGCTGGCCAAATGAAAACAAATGTATAAATGATGCCTTAAGGCGTCATCCACACATGGAAACAATCAAAATAATGGCTGATGGCATTATCTCACAGCCAAAGTGTTAAACAATAGAATGTTAAAAAGTCTATAAATATATGAGCAATTTTGAGTAAATCTTACCCCACGAGGGAAGTTACGGCTTGGCGGTGTCCTGATACGACGGTCAGCTTTTGATCTGTTCCTGACCACTTTGGAATGGATGGCGCAAGAAACACAGTAGTGCAATTTAGCATATAATTTCGGCAATTGGTATGCTACAAAGAAAATATACTCATCAGAAGAAGTTCAAGTATTTACATTTATGGACATTAGCTTTATGAAACATACATGTATATACACTAGCATCAGTTATATCACGGACAGCGGCGGCTTCGACAATATTACGAATAACAAATTTTTTGATAGCCTTGTCTTTGGGCACGCAACGTGCGCAATTGGTGCAACGCACAGGCTTGACATGACCACGACCGTGTTTCGATCTTCCTCCATTACGACGCTTGCGGGTCTGGAATTGAAAATTTAACAATATTTAAAACAAGTCGTTTCTTGTTCCGCCAATAATAAAATAACAGTACAAAGGGAAATAACAGAGAACACATGGAAAATTCAACTTTTCGTTGATCTCTTTTACTAACGATAAAACCGACCGAACACATATAAAATTCAATGTTGTAGATTAACAACCATGTAATTGTAATAATTATGAAATTTTAAGTTACTTACCATTTCGATGTCGATTTAAGAACGAAAAACTTTAAAGATAAATGGAAAACGAACGTAACCAGTCAGCTTGAAAGGACTAGAAATCGAATGGACGACATAACACATAACCTCTTAAAAAGCAATATTGGCTGATTTGGTAGCGATGGATTACATATAACATGGAAGAAAAAACTCATTTTTGTGTTTTTAATATTTGAAAATCTTTATCTAAACATAATAATTTTCCGTGTACATGGTTAACCTGTATTTGGCGCTATAGATAAGTTTGGAGTGTTTGGACCATAAACTAAGATATATATATCTTAGTTCATGGTTTGGACCACGGCTTCGATAGTATACAAAATTGAAAATAAAGCACTCTCCAAAATCATTATAAATTATTTAAAACAGTGTTTGTAATACCTCGATTAATGGACTTTTAATGTAGTAATAAAAATATGAAAAGTCCAGACTTAAGATCAAATGTTATTAAAATAAAGACACCACGACGTGCAAATTATCGAACTCGTGTAGAAGGTAAAAAAATCTGAAATAGAAATGTATTGTGTGGAATACTGTTTTGTGAAAGAAATACAAGAATTGAAGAATCATGAAACTCGATACGTAAATATTGGTATTAACGGGTGCAAATGTGCAACAGGCTAAACGTTATCACTTATCACTTTTTTTGGTCACTTGGTTTTTAGGAAAATGTTGCACCAATTATATTGTTATTCTAAGAACAATTGAATATCATTGAACTGGATAGTAATTATAATAATATAGAAGCGGCAAAATGCATAGACGAGGTTTATATACTAAACAATCGTACTTCGATTTGGGAAATTTAAAGAAGGTTCAGATAATATTTATTCTAACCGGACAACACCGGATAATGAAGCTAGAATTATAGGTAATATGTTATAAATTGTTCTAAACTCATCTCAAGTATACTCCGTTCGCCGGGAGAAAGTCTTTGTGCATAAAATTCAAAACGGTTCGAATCTCGCCGCAACTACCCAAACGTCTCAAACCCAGATGTCAGATGATTGGACGATGTATACCTCAATACCTGTTATATTGTGCAGCCAGTTAGTAGTCGTCTTTATACTTTTTCTAAACGATACATATCGTGTGTAAAATCGTCATCGCTTACATTATAGCAATCGATATCGGTATGTCAGTATATCTTGTCTTTTGTAAAGCGATTAGTGCTACTTGTATACAGGGGTGTGCCAAGACATTTTTTTTTTTGGGGGGGGGGGGGAGGAGGAGTAATATAGAGGTATCAATTTACGGCTAAAAATAACAGTAATTTTAACCTTGAGTCACGACTCATCAAAAAGATTTCGCGATCCATGGTTTGGGAAACGCTGAGTTAAGCTGTATATATAAACACAGATATATATATATCATCACGTATTTCGTTATGTTCAGGTTATTTTCCTAAAATATCTCAATACTTTCAAGTTTCAGTTCGGAACGACATGAAGACGGATGAAGATAGCCGTTTGTTCTGTAGGTACACCTAGTATTCACCGGAAGAGTTGATGTTTATTGAAGTTTGTTTTAGTATTATTCAAGGGCTTAAATGTATTTTTAGACTTAAATTAAATATTTATTACCACAACAATCCAAACGCCGTCTTTGTTTCACCATAAGTATGATACGTACCCATTTTGCCTATACTATACGCCGGGTAACACTTCAGGTTTGCTCCAAGTATTTAAAACAATATATTATTAATCTTTACCATATCTCTTTATCTATATATATAAGAATCTAACTTGATTTTGAAGACGAAGGAAACAGTTTTTGAACCCTCATTATAATAATAATAATAATTAACTAATTACCAATTATTTTCATTTATCCACCGATAACGATGTCTGTTTCTTTTTTAAAATTTTTTTTTTTAATTTTATAATCGTTGCATTATTTGTATAGCCAAAAAATAGTCTTATGTTTTTAAATTAAATTATAAAAAAATAATTTCTTCCGGAGGATGTCGGGCAGCTAGTACATTATAAACCTCATATCTAATATTATTTACCTACTATTATTTTCATACACAATTTGTTATGCCTACAAAATAGTATACAATTAGAATTTTGACAACATTGGATATTTTAACGAGAAATTACGATTTTAGATCCCTATTATAGTGTAGGAGGGGCGCCATTTCAGTTTTAAAATAGGGCTGCCAAATTTTTTACCAGGCCACACTGCCACAGTGATAACAATGAAAATTGAAGTATTAAATATTCAATAAGCTGTTATGTAATCTATAAGCCCAATTCTAACATTTAATAATAGCACCTTAATTAAAAATGATTAATACCATAAATTAGGCACACTTTGGCATCGGCGCCAACATGAAATTGAGACAGGCCAATTATGGTACGGGGAAAAATAGGGCCGCCAATGTATACCCTGCGATACCCCAAATGGCGCACTTGTGTAGGTACTTAATACACAAGTAGGTATATTAAAACTTAAACATTCAATGGTTTATAAAAAATAAATATTAACATTATTTTTAGGTGAGTTCAGTAAAATACCCGAGGGGGGAAATATCTAAACACCATTTTACCCATGGATATCAGTGATTATCTATTTTTGTATTTGTAACATGGATGTATAAAAATACTTATAAAATACTATATGATCTAAAATTCAGTGAACAAATCGTAAATACGGACCTCTTTGATATGAAAAGTTGTATTTTAATATATATCTTTGGATTTATCATATTGACTTAACATAATACAATCCATGACGAATGCTAATGTAGTTACAGAAGACGCAGTCGATTAAAGATTCTAAAATTTCAGTTAGCAAAGCAGACATAAACAAAAAACATACTGAGTTCCGTATGGTTTTATTTTGTATTTTCAGTGTTCCGCAGTGCACATGCAATTTCTCGGATTCCACCGAAGTGGAATATTAATATTTAATAGGTGTCATATTTGCAAAACGTTCGGTGAGTATGTGTTTAATGGAAAGGAGGACATCGCATAGTATAGTGACTGGAGGTTCCTCGCAATTTTTCGTGGTTAAGTATCGTACAAGAGGACGACTTATATCCGGCTATCCCTATATATAGTTGGTTAATTATTGTTTTGTTTCTTCTGTAAGGTTATTAGACTAGTAGTCAGTAGAGAACAGACGAACAGTATATTATAATAGTTGGTTTTATTTGATACAATTTTGTTTTTTGTTTTTACTCATACAGATTAACCAGGATTATATGGTACAAATTATAAGTTTGATTTTTCGTTCAATATCATTAGAACTTATGAAGGAAATGTTTTGGTATGTTTGCGGTTGTGCCTAAAGAGAAATGTAATTTTTTTTCAAGTGCATATTTGATTGATTTTATTTTATTTTTTATTTTAATTAAGCCTTGGCAATTATGACCATTGGCAATAAAGAGTTTAACTCTAAATTGTTTACATGATATATGTTACATATTAAATATTATTGATAAGGTTGGACTTAGAAATAAAGGTTATAATGTGTTTTATGTTGTCCGGGTGGACTGGTGGAGGGCTTCTGACAGAATGTTTGAGATGATGCCTGCTTCTAGTCTATCCGTTTTGTATGAAAGGCATTCAGTTAAGATGTGTTTGATTATGGGAGGAGTACCGCAGCTGGCACATAGGGGTGGATCTTCTTTCTTCATCAGATACTGGTGGGTTATCGATGTATATCCTATACGAATTCTATTGATCAAGGTTTCCATTTTCCTTGAGAAGTCTGGTGGAGAGGGCCATGTGTGGATGGTATTTTTAATTTCGTTTAATTTTGAGGTACCTACCTTGTTTTGGGTCTAATTTTGTAAAAAAAAACTTTTGTTAATTTCCATGTTTTAATTCCTTTATGGTGTAGTTGTGTACTTTAAACAACATTTTTAAATAAGTGTAGGTATTTATCATTATGTAATGAATGTTAATCTAACCCTAGTTCCTACTAACATCACTCATTTAAATTATCACTTACCTTTAAATAGGTACCTAATAGGTAGTAGCAGAGCCGGATTAAGGTTTTTGCCGCCGATAGGCTGAAATAAATTTACCACCTAATTTACATAGGTATTGATATTTTACTAATATCTCAAGGTAGTTTTTAGGTCATACCAAAAAAAAATTTGCCGCCCTAGACTTTAGCCCACACAGCCTAAGTGGTAATATGGCCCTGGGTAGTAGGTACCTATAATATAGTATATTGCATAAAAAATCATGATTAAAATACACAATTTATAGTTATTGAATAATTTTATTAACATGAAATAAATTAATAAATTAACAAAATATAATGTATATTGCACTGTATAACTATTTAAGATATAAAAATGTAAAAAAATCTTATGATAAATTGTAACCCTTATAATTAATTTTTATTGAAAAATAAAATGTTTTAGATAACTTTGGCACGTTTTGATCATACAATACTTTCCATGTTGCTATTGTCAGGTAATACACTTAATGATTTTGGCATTTTACTGCTTTCTATAATAGGTACCGTGCCATTTTCCATTAAATCTAAAATCATAAAAATGTATTAACCTATTTAATATCAAATACCATGTTTTTAGTTGTTGTAAATAACATAGGTACACAGGAGGAAGATATAATACTCGTATAATAATAAAAATATATTTTGTTACTAATATATAATTATATTGTAATAAAAACTGTGTGTTTTCACTAATGTTATATTGTTATAATAAGGTTATAATAGTTATAATTAGCCATAGACAGCAGTGCATTTTGTAAAACAGTTTAAAAAAAGTTTCTATGAAAGTTTGTACCAAGTAGAATTTTAGGAAAGTATCTATATTTACACTTGACAATATGTCTATATTTTTCTAGGTATAATAAGTTATAACATTTACCGCAGCTGCAAATTTATAAATATAATCAGTATTTATCACGACCAATTTTATCAATATTTTTTGATATATGGAATAGGGGGAGGGGGGAAGAAATCATTTACATTTTTCGATTCGCTTTCATCATTATTTTGTTAATTCATATTTAAGTGTATGTCTTTATTATAGTATTAAAATGATACTTATAATGATGATAAAATAAATTCCACTTACTGGACAATGAAGGTGATGGCCCTTGGGAGTTACTAAACATTTTGGTGCTATATCCAGAATCATTACATGGTATATCATCGTGACGTCGAGCTGTCAGATAGTCCAATCGCCATCGTAAGTTTGGGTCCATGACCGTGGTATCAATAGCACATTCTGTTCGAAACCGGTTCTCCAACTCGCTGTCGTTGTCGCTCACTTCTTCAGCCACCTGCAGAACACAAGTTTACATATAGTGCTACTTATGTGTCCACTATTACAAGTTCATATTAAAAAGTTTCCGGTTAACGAATATCAATTATATTGTGTAGACACGGTCAAATTGTCATTTATTGGAAATGTACTGTTCGTTTTCATTTAACATTAAATATAACAGTCTATTATTGGTTTAACCTAACCGTAAAATAAAGCATAAACCAGTTTATTTAATGTACAGATGCGTATTACGTAGCATAAAATCATTTGTTTCCTTCAGAATTTTAAGTCTAGCACCTAGTACCTATCTAACTGATAAAAAAATAATTTATGTTTAATCATTATAATATTATAGTCATTAGTGAAACATTTACACACAAATAATACATGATAATTGATGATATTACATCTGATTCCAAAATAGAAGAAAACAAATATCTCTTACTTCAAATAAATATATTAAACATTAAACTAAAAGTCTGTATAATCTATAATCAGGCTATTTTCTTATAATTTCTGATTTTCAATATCATGTGTAGATGTGTAGTGAATACAAACAATTAAATTAATTTGACTACCTATCCATCATATCATATAACTATAGCCAACTCAAATAACTCAAACATTTTTTTTCAAGTAATATATCAAATAAGTAAATAAATAAGAAACGTAGATTATTCTTAATAGATTTGAACCCATTTTGTAATATTTATGATTTATCCACTATTTTTTCGAAACTGTTGATGTAAAAACAATTTATTTATTGTATTTGGTCAAATAAATATAATTATTGTTTACCTGTTGAAGTTTTTCATTCGATCGCTTCAGCTGTTTCTCAACGGAACACAATCTCCGATTAATATTATCTTCAGTACGACAAATTTGCCTTTTTAGTTTTTTCGTATTGTGGTCTAGCCGAGCTTCTAATTCCTTGAAAAAGGGTGCACAATAACATGTATACCCTACGCCTACTGGTCCTTTTCTAATGTTTCCAGCCAAGTCAAGATAATATTGTTCACCTGCATGTAACGGTTCTTCAGGCAACGAGTTCAACTTAGGTTTCGGAAACTCCTTGGTATCCGGAAAATAATGGCAACCGTAGGGAGACCATTGTTTTTTAACATTTGTATCGGTTCGTTTTTTACTCTAAAATCATTATTATTATAAAATAATTTATATTTGTTTTGATTATTTAAATATAAATTCACACACATCTTTTGAATCTTTTTTTGTTTTTGAACTGCTGCCTTTCTTTTTGTACGTGGGATTCTTTAAAATTTCTAAAATATCAGTCAAATTTTTACGTTCTGCTATATCTCTGGCAGTTTCATTTTGCTAAAACAAAATAAAATAAAATAAAACAATATTAGGTTTTATAATGTTTAAAAATAACATTAGTTTTTTAATACCTTTTCCATATAATTGCAAAATATTATTGATCAATTAGGTTTCATTAGAATTTAGTGTTTATAAATATTTATAATATATTTTAAACATTTTATGGTATAAATTTTAATAATAATAGTATGTGATTTACTGTACGACTTGGTAAGTACTTAAACAGTGTCATTAAATAATTATTTAATGTTTCGCTTGAATAGACAAAATAAATAAAATATTAAGTGCACAGTAACAAATTACCTTATTTTTTAATGCAATATTGCATTTAGCTTGCAAAATTATTTTGGTTAATTTCTTCCTGGCCATAGCTGCGGCAATATGTAGTACTGTATCACCATTCTGTTTCACATTAAAAACAAATATTAATTTGTTGGTTTATAGTTTATTACGATCTCGAATGTGAAAGAGTTTGTTAAAAGTATCTTTTTACTAACTTTATTTTGTTCAGAAACTTTACACTGAGCACTTATTAATATTCTCAGTACTCCGGCGTGTCCATACCGGGCACTTGTGTGAAGTGGTGTATCACCATACTGAAACATTGAAAAGTAACAATAAATATTTAGGTATTTTAAAATGCACTTTTTACACTTTTATAGTTTTATAAATTTAGACTTGGATGTATGTATTATATATTTATATTGCTATAAATACATTTATAAGTTATTATTTTAAATTTATGGTTTAATCGAAGAAAAATTTTAACTATCCTTTTAAAAAACATAAAGAATAGCGTTCCCGATACTGTTGAAAAGTACCTCTCTCATTATGTCAACAAAATCACACCCAGCGTTCAGAATTAACACAGGCGTGTCTAAAATCATTTAACGGTTTGTTTTATAATCTGCGAAACAAAAAAAATTCATTACGGTTATCAAAGCGTTTTTAATGGTTGAGACTATACTCTGACGGGATAAGCGAAAATAAATGACATTAACCGATATACTGGAACCAATAATTGAGTTCCTGTTGAATTTGTTCCAGAAAATTGAAGTAGGTACTTACACTGTCTGTATACGTATTTTTGTAGATACATAGCACAGTAATTATATACATATATACGTATACCTATTAGTGATTTGATAAAAGTGTATTGTTTATTTTAAAAATGTAATCAAAAAATAGACGATTGTTGTTTATTATAAGCTGATATATGCTAAACAATAATCATCCGTATGATGATCATTTACAGTATATTATGCAGAACAAGCTCAAAAGGGAAATGCAAAAAGAAAACGAGAATATACTCGGTTGAAATAATAATATGACATATATTGACTATAGAAGAACCGGTACGAGTCATGAAGTCATCTGATTCCGGTTTATAGTATTATATACAGTATAAATAAAAAGAATTGAATCACGATTGTACCAATATATAGGCGTATATTAATCTAAACGTTCACTAACAGCGGTAGGTATATTCCTAACTCGTGGTGAGCACTGAGCAGTGAGCCCATCATCTCTATAAAGATGGCCGTTGTTGCTAAACAATAAAACATGCACCGTTCCTACTTAATATCTACTCATATAAAACAACTACACACGACACGCAAAGCCGCGAACCTATTAAATCTAATCTATAAAAGCCCAAGTGTATATGAATAATTAAGAAAAAACTATTTTTACAATTAATATAAATAGTGCAATTATTCAGCTGCAAGGTAAGTTTTTTTTCAAAATATTAATACGTCAAAGCCCGACTTTTTTTTTAACGAGCATAAGATTAAGTTATAAAATATGATTTATTCTGCTTACGTTGTTTTGGACATCCGGATCACATCCGGCGAGTAGGAGTTCCCGGCAGCTTTGGTTGTGTCCGTTCTGGCAGCACAAATGCAATGCAGACGATCCGCCATAATTCTTGCGGTCCAAGTCGCTGCCGGAAGATGCAAGCAACGCCACTGTTTTGCTGTAACCTTTCCAGCTGGCCTCGTGCAGGGCCGTATTGCCATGCTATATTATAAATACAACTAGCATCATTATAACAAATATGAACTATTAATTATTATACAATATAGGTATAGTATATAGTATACGTAACTAGTATCCAAATATATGTATCTATTCAAGAATGTTATAAATTATTAATGAGTGATACGTGATTGGATTCATGACGATCCAAAGATCTTTATAAATATGATAATTATAATAAATTGTTATAAATCTAGTAGCTGAAACGTCCTGACATATAATACAGAACTTATATGTATGTATATACAACGTTGTTAAGATTTACGATTAACAATTTGACTTAGACGGGGCACAGATTAGACGTTTAATATAATATGTGGTAGAGATATGGACATAGGCGGACATTTGGTTAAATTTTTAGGGGGGCTTTAACAATCAAATGTAAAGTGACTCGCAGGGGCTTCGCCCCCGCACCCCCTTCCTATATATAAGTATATAATATTACTAATACAAATATAAATGTTTGTTATAATAAAAAAAAAAATAACATAATATATTTAAAAATAATTAATAATTAATTTTATTTTAATAACAAATATCTGTTTTTATCAGCAAAGATATTTAAAATATCATTGCTATTAATATATTTGGACATATCTTTTTCAATTTAGAGTATAGAAAGATTGCTGAATTTATCTTGAAGCATCGATGTCCTTAGCCAAGTTTTTATTTTTTTCATTGCACTGAAACTTCTTTCGCAAGTTGCTGAACTGATAGGTATCGTTAATGCTATGGTAAATAGTTTTTGCAAATTAGGGAATACTGTTTGATTTTGGAGCTAATTTTCGAAAAAAATTAACAGATAATAATTATTGAAACAAATAATATCAATAATACAATTTCGAATTAAGTTTCGATTTAGGGGGGTCTATTAAAATATTTGGGGGGCTAAGTCCCTCTAAGCCCCCCACGATGTCCGCCTATGGATATGGACCTGTGACAGTTGATTATACCGTTGGAAGACCAATACAATTTCATTTGGCATCATGTCTTAGTCCAAGGAACACCGTGGGCTTGCAGCAGAGACATTTTTTTCAAACTAGTAATCTGTGGTTTTCATTCAGTCATTGTGCCATTTCACATGAGGTAACTGTAGGTAACAAGAGTAAGCAAAAAAAGAAAATGCCTCACAAAGTGTAAACGCGGAGATGACCACTATTTGGATGATGAGTTTCATACATAAACTATATTTGTTACAGAATCTTCTATGTAAATACAATAAAAATGTAATTTGATCAATTTTTTTTTGCTTTTTGTAATCCACCGACCACCAGTTATTTGTTGCCCAGCCTTCTGTACGGTGTATAAAGTATTAAAGTGAGTGTAACACCCTCAGAATTCTCCATTAAATATACCAAGTATCTATGTATGAGCTTAGTAGGTTTTAATTAATATAATATCCTACTGCACCCATTTGGCCATATCCTGTTATTAATAATTACCGTAGCACGTCTTATTGTGAAAGCGCCAAACGGAACATAACGCTAAGCAGAAATCTAACGGGCAGTATAAACCCTGCGAACGTGGCGCACACAAGTAAAGCTAAGTTTACCCTCCCCTGCACCCTGCTCATACTAATAGCTCGATTTAAGCTTACCAGGTTGTCGTGCAGGTTGACGTTGGCGTCGTGTCGCAACAGCAGTCGCAGCACGTCCAGGTGACCTTCGGCCGCAGCGATTTGTACGGCCGAATAACCGACCGCATCCTGGGCGTTGGCGTCCACGGTCCCGGTGGCCAATAGTTCGGCGACCGAGCCACTGTCGCCCGTCGAAGCGGCGTAGTGCAGGGCCGTCCGACCATCTTCTAGCATCGGTTCCTTAACCGGGTTCAGATCCACCATTCCAAGGTTTTGGCATTATCTACAGGACAACGGAACATGGTGTGATTACTTGGTATTTTTTCCTTCAAATATGCGTTTATGAAAAAATGTAAAAATAAATGTTTGCAGAAAAAATTGCACAATTGGTTATACCCGTATATAAATGGTTTTTAAGCGGTGCCCGGTGATATAAAGACACAATATAATATTATATCTGATACCACTGTGTATATTAAATTATTATTTACAAATAAATTATAAACTTCCTGTAAATTCTAACAGGCCATCGCTATCAGGTGCGTAGCCAGGATAATAAAATTGTGAGAGAGGAATTGAAAATAAATTTAACCAAGTTTTTATAGTTGTCGTAGAAAAATAATACATTTATTAGGAGAAAAAATGTCTATGGGGTAGGAGAGTTAAACACTTAACCCCCTGGCTACCAAAATGATCGCTATATCATATGGCTTGATTGCGTTTTGATTTATGAGGATATTTATCTGTCATAATATATACTTCATACCAATCGTACTGCATTAATATAACTAGAGTCAAAAATATAGACCTAGATCAGACTAATTATTTAAGTCACATTAATAAATTAAGAATGAAGAAACTAAAGTATCTTTTTTTTTAAATGTTTTAATACCAATCTATTTAAATTGTATGTTGTATTTATATATAGGCAAGTTTCCTTTTTTAAAAATAATGGTTTTCAAAATTGAAAATAATAATTTTAAATTAAAATTCAAGAATTCATAAAAACAGAATAAATATTATACTTTTCCTATACTTAATATACATTAATAGTTATTACATCTCACCCTACACAAAAAGTGTATCGTATATATTTGAGCTACGTCACCCCAGAACGACGTCAAAATAAAGTTATCGTGGTTACATTTCCTTACAATACGGTTACAAAATCTAGAGAAAGTTTCGTTTAAGTCTTCCGAACTTGGAGTGCTGACCAGACGTAGCTTAATATTTATGTATAATATAGTAATATTTTAATAAGAATATAAATTATAATATACTACATAGTAATAAAGTATGGGCGAACACGAAGGTTGACATCATCGTGCCAATATGTCATACTACGTACGATTGTGTAGTATTAAAATAGGTATTTTTCTAGAATGGACGCTATGGATATAGGTATGGACTATGGATTACTTACTAAACATTTTGAGTGTAGGAATATTCGACGGTTCAGTGGAACGTTAAGTACTCAGTATAATTTTAGTAGAATGAGCATAAGTATGTAAGAAGTGGGTCCCGGAGTACAAAGGGGCGGCAACCTACAGTTGATGAGTGAAAGCCATCACGAGCGTGTGTATATATGACATGAATGTTGATCGCTATACGACAAAGATGTTTATTTTTAATTTTTATAATATTTACTCGATATAATTAATTTAAATTAATGAATCAGCTTTAATTATTTTAAACACAACATTATTATTTAACTAATCAATAATATTATGGCATGCATAAATTAGTAATAACTAATAATAAATACCTAATAGTATCTTTATATAGACTATAGGTAGTAATATATTTTTTTCTGGTAATATAAATAATAAATAATGCTTAATAGTTATATGTTATAAAAACTTCTATTGGGTATTGCTTATACTTATTAGTTATTATTTATTACATATTAGTTGTTAACTTATAAGTTATAAGTAACCAGTGCATCCAGTAGAAGACCTGTGTTATGGGCAGGGGGCATATTCCCTGTGGCTCGTATCATACATTTTTTAATTATAAATTATATATAATATATTGAAGAAAATTTGTTTTTATAATTTTTTTATATTTTTTTAAAAGTTATAATTATTATGATCGTGTATAAGTTTTAAAGACCATACTATTAAGTTTTGAAAGTAAATAAATGTTAATTGCTTCCTGTTATATCGAATCGATGTTTTTCATTTTATATGTGATTTGTTAATTTTTGTGTACTTAAAATATACATTATTTTTTCGGTCAATAATGGTCAACTTTGATATTGGATATTATAGCCAATTAATTTAATATTTGCTTTTATATATGTTTGTATGCTGTAGATTGAAATCGTGGTTGCGCTGGACTCACTGGCTGGAGAATGGGCCAGTAACGATTATGTGAATTAGAGCTATAATATCTATACTAGAGAGTAGTTAGTAATGATGGCACTGTGGTAGTGGCCAGTAAATTATATACTAATAGATTCGAAAAAGCAAGCAGATATTAGATTTTTGTTTAAAAACTTAAATTTATATTTTGTTTATTGTTAAATAGTAAACTTAAGGTACCTATAACCTATTACTTGAAAAATTACAATACACGAATAGTACATTATAAACAGTACAAATATTAATAATAATATGTTGAAATGTAAAATGGTTGGGATTCAGGTATTTATACTTTAATTTTTAATGTTTATTTAATGTGTAATGTCTTATTAAAATGTATGCAGGGTAATTTATCAAGCATGTGTCCCCCCTTTTCTTCAATAATGCAGTTATTCAAAATCTGTTTTTAGGTACCCGCCTATTTTTAAATACACAAAGACCATATTTATATTAAGACCATATTTTTAAATCCTTGATATTTGTTGTAGGTGCATACTACTTAAGGTCCTGTGAAGACTAGATCCAATATTATAATAGGTAAGTACATCTATTTTATATTTTTGTGTAACCATTTTTAAGGACTATTATCCTTAGTATAAACATTTTAATGATTGTGAAATTACTAGTCCAGATTTTAAATTAGGTACACTAAAATTAATAATTTATAGTAAAAATGAATGTTTCTCATTCAAAAAGCTGAAGTTTGTATCGCCAAAAGACACAGCTTAAGTAGGACAAATTGTTATTTGTATTTCTATAAAGTATGTACAATATGATGTGGCTAATAAAACTAGAAATTATTTTGAATCCTAGTTTATAATTTATAAGTGTACCTAATAACATTTAAAAGCTCATTTCAGATTTTGTTTCAAACAAAAGTTACACTATAACTTTATAGGTAACGCAACTGTAAAAAAGAACAGATTATCAGACGTTACTACACTTCAGTGTAATAAGACTTTTGACTATGTAATGACACATTGCATTGCAAACTATGTATTCTATGAGCACTCAGGTGGTCGTTTTCCTTATTGGTAAATGACTGAAAAAATCACATTTGTACGCACCACTATTATTTAATTATTTACTTTTACTTTATTTGAACTAGCCTTGGGAACAGATGTATGTTATGTACTTATATATACATATATACTATTTATATATATAGTACATAGCCACATAGGTTGTAGTCATTGGGTTCCTAATTAGTTTCGAATTCAATAAGTAACCAGTAGGTACCTAAGTATTTTATACAATGTACAGTATACAGGGTCATTAAATATATTATTTACACTCCAGTACAGACTGACGAAGATTTTTATATTATATTACCTAATACATTTTATACTATATATATATTATATATTAGGTATATATTTACCCTTACCATGAATTTATGTAATGTAAACTATTTAGGTATGTATTATGGTTTATTTCTCTATGTGTATTATGTTTAGATTTCTCATTTTTTATTAAATTTAATATAAATATATTTTTTACATAAGATATACGCAATAATTCTATAGTTATAACTTATCTACACAAAAAAAAACTAAGCTAGAAAAATTGAATATTCATGAATTTTAATAACGATTTGTCTAAAAATAAAATTAACCTATAAAACAACAACAACTAAATCATTAATACGATATATTATGTTGAAAATATGTAATATACTAATATGTTAGTTACTATACACTTGTGCGATGAATTCTAACAATCCTATTAATATTCAGTATTATCAATAGGAGAAAGACTCAAAGAAATCATTAGATATTTTAAATGAATTTCAATTTCAAATAAAATACTAAAGTGAGAATGTTTTTTCAAAACTTGCTATGCATAAATATCAATAATTTGATGTACCTATATAATATTATGTATACATATTATGCAGGATAAAACGATATCTATGTTGAAGTGTATAAAATATTAATTCGATTATACATTTTCTGATTATATAATATATAAATATTGTATTTACACTCCTATATTCTCTTTGAAATATCAATCTGTTATACATTTTACTACCCAATGTATAATATCGTTACTAAATACTGATGTCGATTTTTGCTTCAGATCAATAAAATAATAATGGATATTATTGGCACCAAATAAGGAACCTAGTTTAAATCATAAAAAATATTGTTTATAATTTCATGTTATTTATTATAATTGTAATTAGAGATATTTTGTTCTTCTAGATTTGACATGATAATATATTATATACTATGTACGCTAACTAGTATAATCAAAACATTCGTACGTATTTTTTTCTCGAGAAACCACCATATCTCATATTATATATTTATAATTTATATATAGTACCTACTCTCATTTCAAACTCGTGACTCGTCAAGCATAATGTTATATCGCGTTTCCTGTTAGGAATTTCATCTGGAACGAACACACGTACCGAACTTGAACAATTTCTTTTGAATTGAATTGTTCTAATTACCAAACCAAATCATTTTACTATACAATATATAGGTATATAAGTATAAATCGATAAATTCAACTTGCAGTGCGAGCATTTTGATTATACCTATGTACTCACCAACTTATAAGTTATATTGGAGTATGCGCTTTTGAATTTATATTTATTCTTCGTTCTATTTTATTGACGTGTGTAGACAATAATACTTTTTACGGTTCTTAGCAAATTTGAAATATCCATGGGTGGACGGCTAATATTTTTACATTGTATATTGTACATATACTTACGTAAGTGTACCTATGTACTTATACGCGCACGGTTGATGTAGCGTGACAAATTGTAGATGGCATTCATATCCGCTCGTTGTTTGTACATTTTATTCTTTCTGTGTATCCAGGGCACATGGTGTATTTTTAAATTACATAACGGATATGCAGATGATGTGTACCTATTCGAAGGATCGTAGGTAGGTATAATAATTGT